AGTGGGGCATAGTCTCTCTTTCTTCAAGAGCATGAATTTCTGTAATGCTGATTTTAATTATTGTTCAAAATGGGGGCCACTCCCAGTGGTGCAGGGGGGCAGGGCCACTGGGCCAGGCATGCCTAGTGGTTAGTGATCAGGTGATGGGGGAGAGGCATGTGCCAGTTCTGGACTGAAGAATATATGCGGCTTTAAGGGGTGGGAGGGAGACTGGGGAAACTGGTGCTGGGAAGTCACAGTGGTTGAGGGATGGGTGTTGGAACATTGTATGACTGAAGCGCAATCATGAACAATTTTGTAATGCTCTTATCTCATGGAGACTTCCACTACCTCCACTACCCAGCCGCTGCCATGCTCCAGGTTGCTTTCCGGACATCATAAGACACTTAATACCCATCTTCCAGTATATCTCATGGAAATTCAATTTGAAAAAATAATATATGAGTCTGTTTTCTTAAATAAAAGAGAGGGGGCTGGAGCAATAGCACAGTGTGTAGGATATTTGCCTTGCACGGGGCGGACCCGGGTTCAACTCCCAGCATCCCATATGGTTCCCCGAGCACCACCAGGAGTAATTCCTGAGTGCAGAGCCAGGAGTAACCCTGGAACAATGCCAAGTATGACCCCAAAATAAAAAAAATTTTTTTAAATTAAAAAAGAAATAAAAGAGAGTATGTGTTACTTAAAAAGAGATTCACCAACTTGTAACTTGAGGGAGTACCTTGAGAACTAGGTAGAATTGTAGGAGACCATCCTGGCCCTTGGCTTGTCTCCAGATTTTCTTTCTTTGTTCTTTTGGATAACACCTGGTAGTGCTCAAGAGAAACACCCAGCTCTGTGCACAGGAGTTGCCTCTGGCAGTGCTCAGAAGACCACGTGGTGCTGGGAGTGAAACCCAGGCCCCCCATATACGAGCCACACACTCAGCTCAGGAAACCATCTCTCCACCGAATCCCGCTACCCTTCCCCCTTCCCTGCAGTCCCCCTCTCACTCCATCCCGCTGATATACGGGAAGGGAGTGGAAGGGAGAACTGGGGGCCTCAGTGATTACAGAACACTCTGTGGGGCAGGAGAGGGGCGAGAGAAGCACCCCCACCCAAGAATGCTGTGCTCTCCCTGTGACTACCAAAATGCTCCTCGCCCCCTAACTTACTTCACCTTCTGCCTCTTCCTCATGCTCTTCTTCTCCACTCGCTTCTGGAAACGGAGACCCCATCCCCCATGTCAGCCCGCAGTGAATGAGAGTGTCACCCCCTTTTCCCAGGGCCCTGATGCTATCCCAGGTCTTCTGGCTCAGATCCTAGATGGCCGAGACTTTCAGAGCATCTAGGCAAGCTGGCCACGTCCTAAATGTGTCTGGCAATGGCGTGGATCACGGAACAGTTGGGCAGCCTGTCTGTTTGTGTCTTCCTTCTCATGGCTGCGCTCAGGATGCAGCTGATCGCACAGACAATCACATGTCTTTGGTTGTGGCACTGGCTGAGGGGCCACACACTCTGGGCTCGCTCCTTGCATGGCTGTGCCTGGTGCAGAGTGTTGGAAATCACGTGACTCTAGGCATGAAGATCAGAGCTGCCAGGCTCTCCTGGACCATGGGGCATCCCCGAGGATGGATCCCTTGTGCAGTGGCTGGCACTTTAGCTGCTGAGCTCTATCTTGCCCCTACCCACCCTCATCCCCATGTAGAATATTTAAAAGATTTTTTTCTTCGCATTTTTTGGATCACACCAGGTGATGCACAGGGGTTACTCCTGGCTCTGCACTGAGGAATTACTCCTGGCGGTGCTTGGGGAACCATATGGGATGTTGGGGATCGAACCCGGGTCGGCTGTGTGTAAGGCAAACACCCCACCCGCTGTACTATCACTCTAGCCTCTCCAGCCCTTATTTTAAAGTTTTGTTGTTATCGTTGAATAAATGCCCCCTGGAAGGGGGCAGCACAGTTGGATGTTTTTGCAATACTTATGCTTCGTTGAGGCAACACTGTTGGTAGCTGGCTCTGAAGGACCTTTCTGGAATGCCCTCTAGGTAAGGCCATGACGCGGAGACCTGCAGGTCCTGTCCAGGCCAGTAGGTGGCAGATGTGGGCTGTCTTCTGGGAAAAGCAGGGTTTGCTGGAGGGCGGAGGGGCTTAGGCGGGTGCCACCCCCCCCCCCATTTTCCTTCCCACCTGCCCCGCCCCCAGACTTATTTCTAGCTGGTGCGAGGGAACCGGTCAACCGGTTATCTGCTGGACCTGGCACAAAGCGAGAGGTGTCCGGGGACCTGCAGAGGGAGCCCGCATGGGGTGACAGGCTTGTCCTGAGCCACAGTCCAAAGGCAGGGAAGCTTGCCCCCGCTTCAGGGTGCGCACTCATGGGAGACTCCCTGAGTGGGCCTCACAGCCTTGTTGGAAAGGAAAGTCAGGGTTCTCTGGGCCTGCTGCCCCATTTTCAAGATGACTTAACTAACCCTCCTCCCCCCAAGATGAAGTCACTTGCCTAAATTCCCCCCCAGGAAGGACCCAGATGTCTGTGCTCCCAGGCCGGTGAGTTCTCAGTGGGGATTGGGGAGGTGGACGGAGGGGGTGGGGGGTTCCCGCCGGCTGAGCCCCGCTGTCTCCATAAGGGCCCCAGTGGGTGTGACCCACGTCCTGAGAACCAGCTCGGGGGCAGGACCCTTGCTCTGTCTCACCAACACCTCCACTGGCCTTTCCTCCCTGTCAGGCAGGAGAGGAGTTGCAGTGACCAGCTCTTAGGCAAGTGTGGTGACGCCCACCTAATCTCTGATGGCACCGTCTCCACTTCTGGAAAGATCCAGTGGAGCCCAGCATTGCGCTAGGCCTGATTCTGCTCAGTGCCCGGTGGCCCTGCACCCTAGAGTTAATCCTGTGCACCCCCCTCCCTGCTCCTCCTCTACCTTCTTCCTCCCTACCCTCCTTCCCTTTCTCTCCCTCCTCCTCAGTACTCAGAGAGTAACAAGTCAGATGGGGAGTAGGGGACTGCCCGAGGTCACTGACTTCTCTGAAACAGGAGACTCCACAGTTTGTGCCAAGAAGTGACACCAGCTAGTGGAGATTTAGGGACTTTTTGTTTTGTTTTGTTTTGTTTTGTTTGGTATTACCCAGGGGTGCTCAGGATTAACTCCTGGCTCTACCCTCAGGGATCACTCCCTGGTGGTGCTCTGGAGACTCTGTGGGGTACCGGGGATCAAACCCAGGCCAGCTGCATGCAAGGCAAGTGTCCTGCCTGCTGTACCATCACTCGGGCCAAAAGCCAAGGAATATTTCATTATGTGCTTCTACCACATTTTCCTACCATTTATCTGCCGGTACACTTTAGTTATAATGAGGAATTAAGGAAACAATATACAGTTTCCTCCATGTATTGGTCTCCCAGAGAATAGTGTCTGGTCATTGGCAAGAGCTATCTTACAGCTTAGCTGTGGTCTTCATGAATGAAAAAGAAGTAGTCAATACACACATGTGTTGGGGTTGGGAGGTAGATCAGAAGTCCGGGAACATGAAAGGCCCAGAGTTCACCACCACCAGTGACCCTGGGGACCCCCAGCAGCCCCGGACCCGGATATTGACTCTTCCAACATAGTTGGTTTAACATTGCTGGAAATAGCCCCTGGATCCCCTGAGCACCCCTCAGGGAGCACCCCTCTAAAAAAAATCTATGGTCTAATCCTTTAAAAATTGGCTTCCCTCTTTGTGGCCTCTGTACATACCCTTCTACAATGCAGTTGCTTCAAGGATATAAAATCCAACATTCTGTGAGTCTGAGTGAAAGGAAACTTTGGACCCTTGTAAGTCAGAAGTATGCATATCAGGGAAAGTCGTGTGAGGGTGAAGGCAGAATTTTTGGTGTCTGATGGCCCACCTGTCCTCCAGGTCTCCCTCAGGCTAGCTTGGGAGTTTGCTAAATCCTTGCTGCTATCTTCAGACTCTCAGCTCATCTAACAGTGCAATTAGGAAGAGGAAAATACTGAGTTTCTCAGGAAAAATCACCGGCTGTGTAGGACAAATTCCCCGTGGGAGGAGAGTTGGGAGAATATCTGTTAAAATCAGATGGGTGATTATCTCTGGTTTGTGAGCTGGTAAAAGATATTTATGCACCATCTGCTTCTCTGATTTCTGCATTTTCTAGTGGAGTAGATACTCTTTTTATTATAATTGGTGTTTGGCAGAGTCTGGCAAACTCCCTGTGGTGTACCCAATATGCCAAATACCAGTAACAATGATGGGTCTCATTCTCCTAACCCTGAAAGGGCCTTGAATATGGCACTTTAAGATCTCAGGGCTAGGACGAAGGAGACGTTACTGGTGCCTGCTCGAGGCAATCGACGAACAACAGGATGATCGTGATCATGATCGTGGTGTTCAAAAAAAACCACTCATGGAGCTGGAGCAATAGCACAGTGGGTAGGGCATTTGCCTTGCACGCAGAAAACCCAGGTTTGAATCCCAGCATCCCATATGGGCCCCTGAGCACCTCCAGGAGTACTTCCTGAGTGCAGAGCCAGGAGTAATCCTTGGGCATTGCCAGGTGTGACCCAAAAAGCAAGCAAGCAAACAAACAAACAAACAAAAAAAAACCCTACTGATAACCAGCTTAAGATTTTAAAGAATTCCATGAAGTCTATGTTTTTGGTTTGACAGATGTGGAAAAAGAACAGTCTATCAATATTGTTCAGATTATTTTTGTTTAAGAAGTGTCTGCATGGGGCTGGAGAGACAGGACAGGGGTTAGGTGCTTGCCTTGCATGTGCCTGACCATAGTTGAATCCCCAACCCATATAGTTGAATCCCCAGCCCACATCCCTCAAACCCCACCAGGACAGATTCCCGAGTGCAGAGCTACGAGTAGACCCAGAGCATGTCCAGATGTGACCCCTCCCCACCCAAAAGAGGCTACTTATAAAGCAACATGGGAGCGATATGTATCCACCAGCTTTAAAAAACCATCAGACTTTTATCCATCAATGAGTATATACATCCTTGAGAGTGCGAGACAAATTTAGTTTTAATAAATTTTAACTTATTTTTGACAATACTGGGAATATAAACCACTGGCCAATCTTTATAAAAGGACGAATCAGTCTTTTCATACTGGGTGAGGAGAGACAGTTCTGTGGCAGTACAGCAGATTCTTCCAGCCAATTTGTGCCATGGACTGAAGAGGCAGGAGTTAACATTTATTCCTTTTTGAAGAACCTCTTCGCCTCCACGCCTTCATATGTGTAAGTCTGAAAGGATTCAACACACATGGAAGAATTTGTCGTTAAAATTGAAGGTGAAATTAAGGAAAACATTCGTAGTACTGTAGCTTTGAAATGAACTCATGATATTTTTCTCCCTCTTATATTTGGCAATGGATACAGAATGGAGGCATTGTGGTTTCTTTGACATACTCAGTCCACCTCAGCACAAGTGTGTGTGTGTGTGTGTGTGTGTGTGTGTGTGTGTGTGTGTGTGTGTGTGTGTTTGGGAAGTAGCCAGCATCACTCCACAACTCACCTGGACCATTTCATCACCGACCACTTCGCGGATGGCATTCAGCTCCTTTCCGTTGTCTACCCGTGTGAATTTTCCAACCAGTTTGCTACCCTCCATGTTCCAGGTCCCCTGTATAGAAATCAAATGAAGGTTACAATCCATGAGGATTTTCCAGGGCCTTACCCCAGTCAAGCATTGACTGTGTTTGCTTCCATAACGGTATTGTCGCTGGACAGAGAGCTGAGGCATAGGCATTCAGGGAAAGCCACAGAGCCCGGACCCCATCCAGGCCACCTTGCTCCAAACTGCTGCTGACCATTTCCGGTGTCCTGCCCAGTCCTTGGAAAATGTTGACTTTGGACTGAATTTGTTTGTTCATTTGTTCTGGGGTCACACCCTGTGGTGCTCAGGGCTTACTCTTAGCTCAGGGATCCCTACTCATAGCACTTATGCAGGGTCCCCCAGATCAGTTGACCCTTACCTGCTGTTACTCTTCTTTCCAGCCCCTGCACTGAATTTTAAGGCAGAAAATCAAGGCTGCTTCTCTCTAAACTTTAATGTTAAAACAGAATGTCCTAGGTTTAGCTATGGTTCCGATTACTTTCATAGGCTTGATTTCTCTAAATATAATTCTAGTTAAAGTCTGGCCATGACTGAAGAAATATTCAAAAGTTTGTCATTGCAAATATATGTGTTTTAATTAGGAACTCTCTGGGGCCAGGGTTGGAGAGTCGCTTAATGGGAAGGAGTACTTGCTTTGTATGCCAAAGCCCTGTCTCCCAGCCCAGCACCAGAGCACCACAGGAGGCCCCCAAGCACCATGGGGTGTGGCCCCCAAACCGAAAAAGCAAAAACATTCTTTGGCCAAAAAAAGCTTTTAGAAAATTGTTTGAAAAAAATGACTCCCTAAAATTTTATACCTTCAACGTTAAGAAACGTATCTCAAGGAACTATAACATCTCATGAGACAATTCTGTTTGATCACTCCTTCACTGAGCTGTAGCACTGTAGCACTGTCCTCCTGCTGTTCATCAATTTGCTCAAGCGGGCACTAGTAACGTCTCCATTGTGAGACTTGTTACTGTTTTTGGCATATCAAATATTCCACAGGGAGCTTGCCAGGCTCTGCTATGCATGTGAGATACTCTTGGGAGCTTGCCGGGCTCTCTGAGAGGGATGGAGGAATCAAACCTGGGTCAGCCACATGCAAGGCAAACGCCCTAAAATTTCAGTCACCAAACGAATGAAGACATTTGCTATGAAATGCCTATGATGCTTAAATTACACAATGCCCAAAGATTTTGTTGCTTTCCGGTGTGTGAAATTGAAAACAGTAGGTCTTCAATTTCTGTATGAATAGGTTTACAGTCTGTCTTTTCTGTAGTTGTCTTGGGGCCACATAAGGTGGTACTGCAGGTCACTCCCTACCATCTTGGTCCTACCATCAGGACCATCTGATGCCATGAAATGAACCCAGAAACATCACATGTGCAAAACAAGTTCTCTATCACTTGGCCCCTACTTGGTCATTTTAAGCATGTTTTTCTAATTTTTGTTCAAATCAGTCTTTACACATTGTACATGAAAATAAAAGCTTATTAAAGACCACCATTATATACAGGATGTTGGAAGGAAAAGTTCTGTCAACTGTTTCAGTTCAGGGAGGACATTTACACACATTGAACCTCCCATTGACACAAAACAGATTATTTTAGAAGAGGATATCAAATTCAAGAATGCATTGCTTATAAAAAAATAATAATTCTTACGGTGAGTTCAGTCCCGTCTGCTAGGCTGTAGTTAAAGGTGACACCAAGCTCAAAAACAAGTTCGATGGTCCGAAAAGTACTTGATTCTTTGACTGTGAATTTATTTCCCTCTTGTGAGATTGTCAGTTTCAAATTGTCATGAGCTGCAAGTTTCCTCTTGACCATGTTAATACCTGCAAAGGGAAATGGTTGCATGAAATAGTCAAAATACCACAAAAAATGACACCCCTCTCACATTCTGTGTCTTCATTTATTTCAATTTTGAGGGTGGGAAGAAGCACTGTCTTGGCATAAGAACATTAGATTCTTAATCTGAAAAATGATTAAACTCTACCAGACCAAGAATATGGATCCAAGTGATTTCCCCTGCAAATGACAAACACTGACTAGAACATGGAATCCTAGACTCTTAGAGCAGAACAGTCAAATCAAATCATCAACCTTTTCTGCTTGTTCAGTAAATTAGTTCTAGAAACGCCAAATGAAGGTTTCTTTACATTCATTTCTTTACAAAAGAAAAAAGCTGGGCCAGAGCAATAGCACTGCAGGTAGGGTGTATGCTTTGCATGTAGCTGACCCGGGTTTGACCCCCAGCACCCCATATGGTCCTCTGAGCCCTGCCAGGGGTCATCCCTGAGCACTCCCCCCTCCCTACACACACACACACACACACACACAAAAGGATCAGGCACAGTGGTGTTTGGGGTAGAGGGGGTGCAGTGTGCGGAGCAAGCTTAGAGTCTCACACGTACTGGTCATAATCTCCCACTCTTTGTGAATATACTTTTAATTTCACTTATCTAATTCCACCCTTTCCTTTCCATCACAGATTTAAAAATTTTGAACTCTGTAATTCCCTTAGGTTTCTATGCTAGTCCCGACTATCCCAGCCAATGAGAAAATTAGCAGATAGTCATCAAATTCCTTCCTGTAAAGATATATAAGTTTTCTAAATTTCACTTTGGATTCCTTAACTGCAGTGCATTTGTGTGTGGCACCCATCAAAACTACATAGAATTGTGAGACTGTTCCCTCAGCCCAGCCCAGCCACTGAAGAACTCGGCCCTTACCCATTTTTTCCATGAACTTGTCATAGTTCTCACTGCGGTCCACCTTCCAAGAGCCGTTCAGCGCCATGGTCTTCAGTTGAGTCAGCCCCACTGCAGCCTGAGATTCAGACCTGAGCAGAGAGAATTTATTCTAGTTCTTATCGTAGCATCTGTGTTATACTCCATGATGTGGAAGTTTAAAGTTCAAGAGATATCTAACTCTTCTGACGCCCAAGCGGGTGTCATTTCTCTTTCTACAAATTCCTTAGCCTCTCACCTGAAATGTGATGACATTAAAATATGATAAAAACTGCTCTGTCTTAACCATGCTTTGGGGAAACACTTATTTCAATCATGTGAATGCATGCACCCCAAGTTTGGCCTTGCTTCTTGGGAGTTCAAAGGGTGCTCTGCATTGGCAGCACCCAAGTAGTGTGGATATCACAAAACATCTGGTAATGCAAACTCCACAGACCTCTCCCTCTTTTACAGTCATAATTACCTCATAAGATTTTGTGACCAGATGAGGCTGGGAAGTCAAACTCAATACGATATTGAGGCTGAAGTTTAGTGATTTCCCACCACCCTACTGTGTTTGGTTTGTGTGTAGGGGGTGCCCAGGAGTTTGGACGGATCCCCTCACACCCAGCATGATGAGGATGATACATTGCCTGTGTTTCTGGGGGTCTGGTCCAGGTTTGACTGGTCCTCAGGGACAGAGAAATCAAAAAGGGCAGGAATGTGGCTCAAAGACAGGAAAACTCAATGATGGGAAAACTCCTAAGAAAAAGAATCCAGCTGAGCCGGAGAGAGAATTGCACAGACTCTTCATGCAGGGTGCTAGGGCTTGGGTTTCCCATTCTTTTTTTTCTTTTCTTTTCTTTTCTTTTCTTTTCTTTTCTTTTTGGATTACTCCTGGCTCTGCACTCAGGAAGTACTCCTGGCGGTGCTCAGGGGACCATATGGGATGCTGGAAATTGAACACGGGTTGGCCAAATGCAAGGCAAACGCTTTACCCGCTGTGCTATCACTCCAGCCCCGAGTTTTCCATTCTGAAAGGGATGCTGAGCATGGCCAGGGGTGAGTCCCAAGCATGCTTAGGTGTGTCCCCCTCCAAAGGTGTTCTGTATGTAGCAAAGAGCTGGAAAGGGAAAAGGAGAAGGATGTCTCTCTCTCCCTTCCCCTGCTGCAGGCCTCCAGCCCAGGGCTGAGCCCATGAAGGTGAAGCATAGTGAAGTATGAGGTGCAGCATTTTCATTACTAGTGACTAGGCCTGGGCATTGCTAAAAAGAGAGTCTTCTTGCAAGGGAATGTGAGTAGCGAACCTTGGTAGCCAAACTTCAGAGAGGAAGCTATGAATCCTGTCTCTTCCTTTTCCCCAGCCTGGGGGGAATTCCACAGCTTCCAAGTTGAAACAGGAAGTGAGAGAATAGGATCAGAAGTTTTATTTTGATTGTATCTGAGAAGCACATTTTCTCAAATGATACAAGGTCTATTATTATTATTATTATTATTATTATTATTATATACTGGGCTGGAGAGATGGCCCAGTGGGCTGAGTGCATACCGTGCATACCAGACGCCCTAGTTCAGGCCCTGGAATTCCAGAGTCCCTGAGCACCCCCAGGAGTCACATCTGAGTACTGTGCTAGGAGTAGCGCAGGAGTACCCCCAGTTGTTATCCAAAAAGGGCCATGGGGGCAGGGAGGAGAGAGAAGAGAAGGATTGCAATCGGAAGGGTGCAGCCGTTGTGTGCATGCTGAGCTGACCCCGGCTGCACCCAAAGTCCCCACCAGAGATGCAGTGAGGCGGACCCACAGACCAGTGCTCTGTTCCCTGCCCCACTCACAGTGGGAGACCCAGCTCGCTGAGGCCCAGGAAGAGGGGTGCATCGATCGTGCCTGTGCTGGGAGCCCTGAGCGCTGCTGTGTGTCTCTCAATGCCTGATAGGCGGCTGAGCCCAGGTCCAGCTGCTGTGGGGCAGTGCCAGGCAATGGATATGGCTCTCATGGACTCTGCATGCACCCTGATGTCTTACCTCTCTTTAGGTGAGGCCCAAGAATGAGCAGAACCAAGAAAGTGTGCCGTGGCCCGTCTCCTCCCTCCCCTGCCTCCATGTACGCGCTGTCTGTGGCTCTAACTCCACCTGTGTGGATACTGGCTTCTCTCTGAAGCTGCTCTCAGTGAGGGGGTGGGGGGAGTTCTTCTCCCCAATGTGACACCTTTGAATGACAGCCGTTAAGCTCGGACCAAGCAGGGAAATAACTGCAGCCAAATCTGATTAAGGCCTGTGCCAAGTTTCAGACATGTCTCAGAGGAATAGCTTTTAAATTTAATTATTTGTTTGGGAGCAACACCTAGCCGTGCTCAGGGCTTACTCTTGCCTCTGCTCTAGGATCTCTCGGGGCAGGTTGGGGGGATTATATCGGCGAATTGTATGGGAAATTAAACCGAGGTTGACTGCATGCAAGGCAAGCACCTTAACTTCTGTACCATCTCTTTGGCCCTATCCTTGGTTTCTCACGTGATAAACTTTCATTGTGCCCTGTTAATAATCACCATCTGCATACGCTGCATTTTAGCAACCCCATTAAACCAATGATATCCTTTACCTCTTGCCACCTGTCACTCATGGTCATCACTAACTTGGTTTTAAAGTCTAAGAGTTTTTCTCTTATCTAGAGTTAGAGTTCTCTTATTTTGTTAGAGTTCTCTATATACCATGTGTGAGCGAAATCATGTGGTGTTTTTTCTTTCTGCATCTGAGTTCACTACACGTAATTCCATCTCAGTCCAACTGGGCTGATGCAAATGTCAGGATCCTTTCCCCTCAGCCATGGTTGCGAGTAACCCCCATGTCCCCGTCCCATCCCTGCTTCCTTCTGGGTTCTGCTTGAATGCCCAGAATTAGGATAGCAGAGCTGCATGGAGTTGTAAACTTTGGAGGAGTCTGTGTACTACCTTCCAGAGTGAGCCTCGGCTCCACGTTCCATTGGCTGAGAAAAGCGCCCTCTTTGCTCTGTACGTTCACTGATGCCCGGGCTTGTCTTTGGGGGAACAGCCGAGAAGCGGCTTCCAGGGATTACAGAGATCAGTCTACCCTATTGGCTTACTCTGTAGCAGGAAGGAAAGTTGTTCTGGATTTTTTTTCCCCCTTTGAGTTGCTTTATTTGGTTTTTGGGGCCCAATCCTGCAGTGCTCAGGACACCTCCTGGCTACATGCTCAGGGTTCACTCTCAGGGGTTGCTAGGAGACCCCTCCGTGCCGGGGATCAAACCTGTGACACAAAGCATATTCTCCACCCCTTTGAACCGTCTCCCCACCTCTGGCGTGTTTTTAAAAATACCATTTCTGGGAAATTGCACTCAGGCCACTGCTCAGAAGCCTGGGGTTCCCACATCCTGCTTTAGCTCTCTGGGCCAGAGCTGGTCAGCAAACTCAAGGCTCGAGTCTCTGAGCCAGCTGCACCCCAACCTGCTTTTCACTCTCAGGAAGTTCCCCTTTTTCTGACTGGGAGGTGGAAGGCACCAGACGAGAGCTGAGGGTTACGGCTGATTCCCTCCCGGGACCAGAGGAACGGGAGTGCCCGCTGTGCCTCCTCAGGCTCCAAATATTGGAAATTGGAGATGTGAAATTGGAGATGACGACTGGTCAGCAGGAATGCTGGGGACTACAGATGCTCACTAACAACCCCCGACCACTTACTGCTGCTCCATGCCACTGTGCACCGAGGGGCCGGGGTTCCTCAGCTTCCACCTTTTCCACCCGTTGTCATCTGGGCCCACCCCTCCAGCTGATGAAGGCCCCACTCATGCCCTATTCTCTCACACCACGGGCCGAAAGGAAATGGGTTTGTACCGTTTCCACCCCCCATGGCCACAGCCAGACTGTGCTGCACCAACACTGTGGGGAGGGACAGTGCTGGGCATCACTTAGCAGTGCTTAGGGCCGACTTCAGGTGCTGTGCTCAGGGGTGATCCTTGGCATGCTGGGGTTTCAAACCTGAGTTGGTGGCATTCTGGGCTAGCACCATGACCCCTGGACTATCTCTCCTGCTCGAGAGATGCATTTCCTTCGAGGTCATCCCTACGTGGCTATGATTGCTTCCAGCCCAAACGAATCACCCTTATCTGCTGTCCATCGGGCTCTGCTATCGGTCATCCATCACTGAAAGTCTTGCTATCTGTCCTGCCATCATTCCTGATGACCTCAGAGTCCATGGAGATAAGCCTGTCTCGGGCCCAGCCGCCGCCTGCTGCTCTGCCCCTTCTGTCCACCTTGTACAGTTGGGCAGGGCGGGGACCTGGGTCACTCTTGGAAACACCAGGGTCTTGGGGGGGGGGGCTTGTTTTCTCCCACATCCATCATCTCTTCTGTGCTCCAGGAGAATGTCAGGCGACTTGTGGTTGCCTCAGTATTCTCCCAATTGGAAGCCCACCTGGGTTTATTCCCATTCCCTGGCCTTAGGTTAACCTCTTATCCCCAACAGATAAACAGCTTGGGCTGTCACACCCTACCTGAGTCCCTGAGCTGCCTGAACTACCTACAGCCGTGGGGGCCATGTTGGCAGCCCCCCACCTCCCACCCTGCTGCTGCGGGTTTGCGTGTGTTCCCGGGGAAGGCAGCGAGCTTCACCCTTGGTGGCCTCTCCCTCTCTCTGTTACCTGCTGCTCCTTTTTTCACTTTGTTCATTTCTCTCAGACCTTCATTGTATGTTAGAATTCCCTGTGCTGAATCACAGCTGCAGGAGAAATGCCCTCGGTCTCAGTGACAAGAAGGCTGGGTTGGGTCTGTGAAAAGACTTTTGTTGTGCTGGAGGTCCAGCCCGGAGCCTTGCCTGTGCTCTGCCGTGGGAGCCTCCCAGCCTCAGCCCATCACATGTGATGCAACAATGAGCAGTTCATGCGGTTTAGAAATAGAAAAGGGAGAAAGAAATTGAGGACCTGGGAGGTCGCTCCAAGGAGTGGAACACATATGTTGGACATGCCAGGTCCTGGATTTGGTCTGGGTTTAGCTCTTCAGAAGCCACCTTCCCCCACATGCCCCAAGTACCACTGGGTGTATCCCTGGTGGTCCCTGGTACCAGCCAGCAGACCAGCACCCTGTCAGGTTTGTACCACTCGGCCAAGTGTGGCTGGGAGCAGCCCTGAGAACCCCAGGTGCATCCAAATTCTTAAACCCACGGACTGAACATGATTCATGAGTCATGATTCTGAGTCCTTCTGTTTTAAGTGCGTGTGTGCATGTACAGATACATATATGTGTATCTTTTCATCCATCCATCCATGCATGCACATACTTCTTTGGAAACATGTATGTGTTTACAGCATGTGCTATCTGTGTATGGATGCCCATGACGGTCTGTGTGGGTGTCAACACTCACATGCGTGTACAGGTGGACATGCCTGTGCCTCCCATATGTGTGTGTGTATTCACACACCTGTATAGGGGGACATAGGAGAACATGTACAAATACGTATGTGCCAGCATGTGTTTGCACATACAGACCCTTGAAACTGAAGAATCGCACGTGCTTTTTATCGTAAATGTCCTTGGCGCCAGTTTTTCCTTTCGAAGCTTTCACTTGGCCCCACAGAGGAGGGAAGTGGCAGGTGCACAGGAGGAAGGTGCCTGGCGGTTCCTCTGGGACACTGAGTGGCAAGGTTGGGCAGAGGGGCACAGCTGCAGGCCCGCCTGGGTGGGGAGCAGGTAAGCAGGAAGCCTGCCTGTTGCGCCGGCCACTGACCGCTGGCAGTGAGTGTGTCTGCGTGCTGGCCAACCTTTGCCCAGAGATAAGGTTCTTGAAGCCTCACAGCAGACATTGAAGTTTGCCCTCCTGGGGCATTCCTTCCCTTCTCGGTCAGAATTGGCCTCTTTAGATCAGCCCCTGCCAAGGCAGCGGGCGAGTGACAGAGAACCACCCGACTCTTACTCTCTTTTCATTCTCTCCTCGGGTGTTGTGTGTGCTTAAGGTGTGTCAGAGAAATGCCTGAATTGGGGTGTATGAGGGTGTGTGTGCAGATGCACTTTGTCCTTGTTCAGCACCAGGAGAACTGCTCCTCTGCCTGCAGGAACCCTGGACACCCCCTGATCCATCCTTCCTTCCCCTGTTTCTTCCCTTGGCTGTGGCCGGGGCAGGCTTAGATGCTTGGTAACTGCTGGCTGGACCCCCAGAGTCAGTGTTGATCGATCTGCGGCTATCACGGTGCTCACAGGATGCGGGGCCCACGTATCAGCCTCTGGGCACACTCCTGGTCCCCGGAGTCTCACATGCCAGCGGTGGGCCGAGAGGGCAGTGCTCAGGTCCCTCTGCTCTTCCCCTTGGTGGTGCCCCGCGTTGCCCTCAGCCACTCTCCCCTGCCCCGGCCTCTGCCTTGCACTCCAAAGACCCCCTGAGCCCAGCTGCTTCCTAGCCCTCCTGGACCATCTTGGGCAGGATACCTGTTTAATTGAGTTCTAAAAAATGACTTATTGTTTTGGTTTGGGGCATCTGCAGTGTTTAGGGATTACTCGTGTGCTTGGGGGTCACTCCCAGTGGGACTCAGGGGACCTGCCGCCATGAATGCACCACTGCCTCCATGCTGCCAAGCGTGTCCTTGTCTCCTCCCATCCACCAGCTAGCTCTCTGGCCACTAGGGAAGCTGGTAAAGGACAGCAGGAGGACAGGGCCTTCACTTGCTCCTCACTCGGTTCTCCAGAGCCACAGCCAGTGACTCTCAGGCATATGCTCAGCCTCACCGGAGCCTGATGTTAGAGGCTGCATGGGCAGGGGTGGGTGCTGTAAGACCCTCATGCCCCTCAGGCAGACGAGGCTAGGGTGTGGTTCCCAGTCTTCAGTGTAAAATCTAGGTGGGGATGGTGAGGAGGAATTCAGCCACAGGGCATCTTGAAATGAAATTTGAGATACAGTGCACGTGAAAATGTGACAAAAAATATCGACATCCGAAAGACTGAATGAGTGCAGGAGAGACGGAGGCGCGTCACTGCTTTCCACTGAGTGCAAACTCCAAAGAACTCCACTCCATTCATCTTTTATCTCTGGGTTGAAATTGAATGCGAAGCCTAGTTATGCTCTTTCAAGTGTATATTGTTTATTTTTATATTAACATATAGCATTTTGGGGGACATTTCACTGTCACTGTCATCACTGTCATCCCATTATTCATCAATTTGCTCGAGCGGGCACCAGTATAGTCTGCATTTGTCCCAGCCCTGAGATTTTAGCAGCCTCTCCTTACTCGTCCTTCCCAACGATGCTGTATTGGAGGCTCTTTTAGGGTCAGGGGAATGAGCCACATCATTGTTACTGTTTTTGGCATATCAAATACACCACAGAGAGCTTGTGAGGCTATGTCATGCGGGCAGGATACTCTCAGTAGCTTGCCAGGTTCTCCAAAAAGGAGAACTAGACTATAAGAGGTAGTGTGGGGACATTTAAAAGATCATTTTTATTGAGGTGACAATACTGTATTGGGGGGGGTCACTCCTGGCTTTGTGCTCAGCTTAGGAGACCATAGGTGGTGCCAGGTATTCGAACCAAGTTCTTGGGCACCCACACAAACACACAAGTGCAGCACCTTAACTCTGTATCCACTCTCTGGCCCAAGATTGTTTTAGGGCTTCAGCTTTAGACCTCATCAAATGCTTCCTACCACACCACGCCAACTACCTAAGTACCCATAACCCCTCACTGGGTTCACCTGGGCCTCTCTCTACCCAGGTGAATTGTTTAGCCATCATTTCCTATTTAAACCATAGCTATCTGGGGCCGCTGAGATAGTGCAGCAGGCAGAGCACCTGCCTTGCACGTGGCTGATCCAGGTTTGATCCTTATTGGGCTTTCCATATGGTTCTTATGGTCCCCTGTGTGCCACCAAGAGTAATTCCTGAGTGCAGTGCCCTTGAGTATAGGTGTGGTTCCCAAACCCAAATAAATAAATTGTAGCTATCCACCTACACACCCATTCATCTGTTTTGTCCTGTTCTGAGCTTAGAAAATGAAAACAAAGAAAAACAAAATCAGTCTTCAGTTGCTGAGGATATTGTAGTGCTGATTAATGACCGATACAGCAGTGTTGCAAACTACCCACCTCAGCTAGGCCCACAGCACACATTTTTGGAAGATGAAAGGGAGTCATGGGCCTGCCCCTCCTGTTGGGAGTGTCCCGTGACGAGGGCTTGTTCCCGACCCCCTAATTCCCTTTCCCCTTCTCAGTCAGCCCCTCTGAGCCCCATGCCATCTGCTCACCCCAGTTTCTGATGGGTTTGTTGGGATGAGGCCAGTGGAAACTTGCTTTCTGACTACAATGATGCTCTGGGTTCTGTTCTGGGAAAAACAAAGGCCCATCCAGCTGGCCCCTGGTGTTTTTAAGGGGCCAGAGTGGTAGAACAGTGGATAGGGTGCTTGCTCACGGCTCACCTGGATTCAGATCCCCTGGGCACTGCAGAGGGTCCCTTGAGCACTATTAGGAGTAAGCTACACTGCCAGGTGTAGCCCAAAAGACCAAAAATAAAATAAAGTGTTTTAATTACCCTTTATTTGCCTTCAAAAATAAAGAACTTTAGATTAAAGCATACAGATAGGCTTGTCTTTAAAAAAAATTAGATTGATTTATTAAAGGGCCAATTCAATCAGTAAACACTAGTTATGTACTCAGCTTACATAATGCAGTTATTGGCGGTCATTAATAATTTTGAGTGGTTAGAGATAATTCCCTAAAAGAAATCAATGTCACCTTTGGCCTACTTACATGAGCAGGGGGAAGTTAGCAGACTTCCCACCGGCCTTGTCAGCATCCCTGGTCAGTGAGAATGTCCCAACTTAGCTCAAACCATCTGACCTGCAGCCCGCCAGCCATGGGAGGCTTCAGAGACCTTCAGAGCCCAGAACAGCCTCTGAATGACTAGCAGTCGTGAAACTGCCTTGTTTTGCCTATGACCCATTGCCCCTGGAACCTTCAGTACAAAACAGGTGTAAACGAAGATGGATGGGCCGGAAAGATAGAGCAGCAGTTAGCGTACTTGTCTTGCACAAGGCCAACCTGGGTTCCATCCCTGGCACCCCACATGGTCCTTGATTCCTGAGCTCAGAGCCAGGAATCAGCCCTGAGCTGATTGTTGGGTGTGGGCCCAAGACAAAAACAAAGAAACTGAGCTGGATTTCATGCCATCCCTGTTTCCCAAAGAGCACTGCCTACAAAGTCCTTGAAGAAAAGGTCCTGACATTGACAGCAACTGGCTGAAGCCTGTACTGCCTGAGGCCAGGCTGTGTTAAGAATGATGGTGAGGGGAGGGGCACCCTACTGATGCCCGAACACACAGCAAGAACAAACACGAGTCTGCAGCATCTCCCCAAACAGGGATTCAAGAAACAAATCTACGGTTTTTTTTTTTTTGAAGGGCCACAGATAGCTCTGTGCTCAGGAGCCACACCTAGTTCTTTATCAGGGGTCACAACTGGCGGTGTTGGGGGGGACCATGTCACTGCCATAGCCACATGCAAACACCTTAACTTCTGAACTTGCTCAGGTCCAGCTGACTAGAGCATCTATGGTCGGCGTGAGAGTCCCATAGAAAGCACAAGAGTCGCCCCGAAACGCCCACGGGAGCCGCTTTCCACTTACCAAGCCGCAAGCGTTCACTGTCCCCAGAAGCCCTCGCCGCTCTCTGACTGTAAGCCCCAGAAGCTTCCTCTGGTCACAGGGAAATGCTGAGTTCCCCGAAGGGGGCCACCCACAGCTGGCACTGACCATCTGAACACTCTTCCTCTCTCGGGGAGTCTGTAGGCTTGGCCTTGAAGAGGCGACTGTGGGCGTTCTGTATCCAAGGGCTGATGGCTCCATTCCATTTACTTCACAGTCCTCACACATTTTCCTCTCAGGAAACTTATTTGGATCATCTTTAGTGGATTATTCCTCACAAGCAATGCAAAATAAGTTATTTAGGTCCAACCTTGGGGACAGCTTTGGGGATCGGGGCAGAATCATTTGAAATATGGTGGTGGGAAGGTGTAAGGGTAGTGGGATTGGTGCTGGAATAGTGAATGTAATCAACTATTGTGAACAACTTTATCACAAGTAATATTTAAGAAATAAATTAATTAAAAATAAAAACACAGGGGCTGGAGCGATAGCACAGCAGGTAGGGTGTTTGCTTTGCATGCGGCCAACCCAGGTTTGATTCCCAGCATCCCATATGGTCCCCTGAGCACTGCCAGGGGTAATTCCTGAGTGCAGAGCCAGGAGTAACCCCTGTACATTGCCGGGTGTGACCCAAAAAGCAATAAAATAAAATAAATAAAAACACAGAGGCAATCGACCAACCCCCATTAGTGGTGCCCAGACCCAGGGCCTTTCACTGACCACGCTCCTCCGGCTTTGAGGGTTGTGATCCTGCAGCCATGCAACACCCAGGAGTTTCCTTGTGCTGCGTCCTGCCCCGTCCCCTGCAGCTGAGGACAGGCCTGGGTGGTCACTCTGACCTGGCAGCCTGAGCCCCTGCGTTGAGGGCCACCTCTGTCCCTTGCACCTCGGGCCCACCGCACAGAGCTGTGTTCTGTGACATGTATGCCACTTGGAGAGCTCCGTGCAGCCACCAGGGGTGGGATTCTCGGGGAGCAGTGCTGGGAATGGGGGTTATGGGGGTGCCTGGACTTTCCAGCAGGGGAGGGAGTGAGCAGGAAGTGGGGGAAGATGCTCTGGGGGAGGGTGATGGCATGGCGGTGGGGGGGGGTCCTCTGTGCTCCCCCTATTTGGGGAAAGACTGGGAAGGAGAATCAGGAGTCTACTGGGGGGGTGGCTGGGCCCCCACTCTCCTCATTGCCGGGGTTGGGGTGTCTTCCCTACCTGCCAGGGTGAAAGAGGAGGTTTGGTTCCCCCACAAAGGACCAGGTCAACCCTGTCAGTTCGGTTTTTAACTCTGGGGTCTCCCAAGTGGAACTCAGGGGCTCGCATCCATCCCTGTTGCCAATTCTCAGCCAACCGAGCTTGTGATCTGGGGCAGGTTTTTCCCTGTAGAGCCTGGGGTGGGGGGCTCCAGGGTGCATATGAGGGACCTGGTGAGGCTCTGCACAGCCTGGACCTTAACTCTGCCCAATCTATCTCCTAAAGAGTTCCATAACCGGGGCAAAGGCTTTGCCCTTTGGGCTCCTGAGTTATCTCTTTTAAAGAAAGCTCCAAAAGATTATCTCAGAGCTATCTCAGGGAGCGCCCTGGAGATGCGTACAGGGCTGGCTCCCTGGACTCTGCCTGCCTGCGCAGGGGGGGAGGAGGGGTGGGGAGGTGGGGAAGAGGGGAAAGAGGGGAGAGGTGGGAGGGGGGAGGGGAGAGGGAGGGAGGGAGTTCTGGCTCTGAGCCTGCACTTCCCCATCCTGAGCCCTGGTGAGGTAGGGGGAGGGGAGGGAAAGAGCCTGATTCTGAGTTTTGCTCCCACCATGCGGTGCACAGAGCCTTCCCCCTTCTCCTGTGCCTCCCCCACTTCCCCTCCCTCTTCCTCCTTGGGGCCATGACCAGGGAACCCAGGTTGCACTGGGTGCTGAAATCAGCAGTTTCCCCCAGCAGAGCTGGGGTAGGGGGGCTCAGGGCTCTGCCCCGCTATGGTGCATGCTTTCTGGGTATACTTGCACCGCTGAAACACCAGGCACTGCTCACTGGCTTGCACACATACACGTGCACACATATGCACACACATGCATGAGCACACATGCTTGCTCACACATGCACGCCAGTGCTTGTACTTACTGGTGGGTGCTGCTCACACATCGTCTTTGGTTTTGGGAGGGTCCTCCCAAGTGGTGCTCAGGGAGTGAGAGCTACTCTGGCTATTCTCAGCTTCTGGTTCTTGGGGGACCAGGGATCAGTCCTGCTTGGGAGCTGCGGGTGTCCCCTCGTGCCAGGGGTGACCAGGAGCCTGCAGAGTGCTTCCTGCCATGCTTGGAGACAGCTGGGGACTAAACTGGGGTCAGCCATATGCCAGCACATGGCTTCCCCCCATCACTGTCTCCTGGCCTACTGCCCACCTATGTTCAGCTGCCGGAAGCCCCCTGTAGCCCTGAGGCAGAGCTGTGGGTACCAACAGCACCAGAGGCGGTCTGGGCATCTTTCTCAGGGAAGGAAGCGGCAATGGGTGGGCGACCCCCTTCTCCATGCCCAGTGCGGCTCAGGGACTCCTGTGCAGGCTCTTCCCAGACCCAAGAGAGAGAGAGAGAGAGAGAGAGAGAGAGAGAGAGAGAGAGAGAGAGAGAGAGAGAGAGATGCAAGGGGAGCATGGTGGTGCCCGCTCCTGGCGGGGCAGCTTTGGCCTCTCCTCGTTCCTCGTGGCACTAACTGGGGGTGGAAAGTTCCAGAGTGCCGTGGCACCTTCTGCTGCATTTTCCTTCTCTCGTGATTACAAGTCAAAACAGGGTTATCTCAGAAAAAGCTGAATATGCAGACAGCTGTAATGCAATGTGACAGACTCCCTCCATCTCCCAGGCTCGCCCTGCACCAACAGTGAGTAGTGTTTTGTCTTCCCCACTGTGCTGGTGCTTCAGGGCACACACTGGGTGCTGTGCTGCTGGGGGTCGAACTCAGGGCCTCACACGTGCATGGTATGTGTTCTACCACGGAGTTCCAAGTTATGTGTGGAACATAACTTGCCAGCTCCAAGTTTTGTGTGTGTGTGTGTGTGTGCATATGTGATATCTATCTCAACTCCAAGAGTAAAAAAAGATTCAACCACATATCTGTATATGGATTTTAAAAACATTTTTTCCCCTGCTTAACAACATATTCTTAGTAGAAGTTTTTATCTGTGACTTTTTTTTTTAAGTCTACATGGTACAGAAATGTATCAAATTTCATGATTTCCCTGGAGGGTGAATAATATATATTGTTGGAAACTTCTGTGGCCTTAAAGCTGTATGGGTTAGAATTAGAATTCTTATCTCTCTACCTCTTGAGCAGAAATCCCTAGAGTTTCTGGGGACCCCCCAGCCTGCACCCGCTCTCAGGTGAGGGGAGGGGAGTGTTCGCTGGGTGGGTGCACACTAGCACCCCGGGGCCACCTCCTGGGCAGCTCAGACCGAGTGGCTACTGGGTCTGGTGCCAGTCACCAGCTGCCAGGAGCCCTGTGGGGGGACGTCCTATCCCCAGGGACTTGTTCCGGCAGCTCTGTGGCCCAGTGCAGGGACTCACGATGGAATCCTGGCGTGCAGTCAGCCTGTGTGGACAGGTGACAGGTGACGTCAGTGGCCCTGAGGGCAGGGCAGGGCAGGGCAGCGTATAGGCGGGCCAGAGGGGCTTGTTTGTAGGGAGCTGGCTTCAGACTTGGGCGAGGACGTGTGAATGATTAACAGGCTGTTGTGCTCCTGCTGGAGAGACTCTGGCCAGGTGCGAGGGACGGCCTTCCTTGGAGTCTGCTGCGCCAGCAGCTCATGCCAAGCCCTGCGGAGCTTTGCAGTGAACTGCTCACCTCAGCCTTTTATTTTTTTTCTTTTCATCTAGGAGATAACAAAATTGATGACGGATTTCTGCATTTTACTCGGAGGGATGGGGGTGAGACTGAGGCAGTCAGTTTGGGAAGGGAGAGACGGACAGGCAGCACCACCAAGGGCGGTCTACGTAGACACTCCTGATTTGTTCCTTTTGGGGTGAGGCATCTTATTGGAGGAGAGAGTGGGGGACAGGACAGGAGAGACGCATCTGGTTCTCTTGGGGCTGGAGGTCGGGAAGTCAGAGAAAGACCAAGCAAGATGGCCCCGGTAATGTCCACATGATGTACCTGGGTTTGTGGGTGAGACAGGAACGCCGAGGTATGGCACACACGCACACACGCACGCACACACACACACACACACACACACACACACACACACACACAGAGCCAGCTGGGAGAGAGCAGCATGAAGCCCTGATCCCATATCCTGGCTCTGCCCGAGCTAGCCTGGGCTCTGGGGGACCAGCTGAAGCACAGGGAAAACCATCTGCTCCATGCTCCCCAGAACTCAGTGCTCAGGGCTATACACAGGGACAGACCTGCTTTGGCCCCTGATGCTTCTAGGACCAGCGGTTACTCAGGCAGCACCTCGTCTGTCTGTCCATCCATCCAGACTCCCAGGGTGGGGAGAAGCTTGACTGCACTATTGGGCTTCCTGGTGGGGTTGGGCTCCCCCTTTCCACCGAGTGTGGACCCCTGTGCCCTGAGGGAGCGAGCCTGGCCTTGGAAGGGCCTCAGATGCCATGTCTCTAGGGGCATTTCTGTCATCATCCTCAGGGGTCCTCAGAGTGGCCTGCTTCAGGGGTCTTTGCCCCTCCCTCAGCTCCCACATGTCCTGCCCCTTGACAGGGTGTGGGGGGGGGGGGGATGGAAGCGGGAGCTGACACAGGGCATCTGCCTGCCCAGTCCTTCCACCACTGAAGAGGGGATGCTGAGAGCCACACGGTTCCCTGATACCAAGTCACACAGACACTCTGATGGCCCAGCTTGACCCTTTGCATGGACGGGCAGTTGCCTCCTTCTCGGGGACCCTGCTGATTCCACGGGTCCCGGAGCCACAACGAGAAGGCACCGATTCATACAACCCAAGCACCACTGGGGGCTGAAGCACAGGCCTTGTATGTGTGAAGTCTGGGTCCCATCCCCAGCACTGCATGGTCTCCCGGGGAATCTCCAGGAGTGACCCCCCCTCCTTTACCCCCAGCACTCGGGACCATC